TTCATGGCAAAGTAACTTGATGTACTTAACTTGACTCTAGTTAACAAATAGAATATTAGTCTACTCTAAAAACGATTTATTTACCAGATAACTGAGTTATTTTTATCAAGTGGCAGACTTTATGATAGTCATCACTTGCTCTTTAGTTGACTCCGGGCTTTAGAGAGGAAAGGAATATCAATGTGGCAGAAAGTGGAGAGAGGGAACAGAAGAGTGATTCACAGATGTACCGAGAGGGGGACAGAATAATGATTCACAGACGTAAAAGAGCAAGATGGGGGACAGAATAATGATTCACAGACGTAAAAGAGAAGGGGAGGGGGGACAGAATAATGATTCACAGACGTAAAAGAGACAGAGCAGACACAAAGGTAGAAAAAAGGTGAGTTGAATACTGTGGAAGGGTTGGGAACAGAAGAGTGATTCACAGATGTAAAAGAGACAGACAAAAAGGTAGAGAAAAAGGTGAAGTGAGTACTGCGTAAGTGGTGGTATATGACATACAGTGGGGCCATTGTAGCTTGAAGATAACTGACGGTTTATAGACTTTAGCCGTATGGGTATCCATTGCCCAGTGTGCACCGCGTGAAGGAAATTCTGACGCGCACCCAATAACTGAATTATTAATAAGAATAAAAAGCAAAACGCCGATTTGGGGTTCACGATGGATGGAAAGCCTATCGAGTCAGTAAGTGGACTTGTCAACAATAAGTCATTTTCACTGATATCTAAATGCTGCTTTAGCAAGCCTTAAATGAAGAGAAGAAGAATTTTTTAAACCCCACATTCAAATGGTTAATTGGAATCAATGGTTACTTAATTTTCCATTGTCATTCACTGCCAGTCGCAAACAGCTTTGCACATGTTAACTTGTACAGGAGAATGTATCTACACATTGGGATTAGTAGAGCGGTCCATATGGGCAGGAAAAAGCATTGAGTCGAGTGGTGATATACATGGAGCGTTTTCAACGTCTCACAACACTTTATTTTCAGCTTCATCCTATTGTTAGCCTTTCTTAAGGCATAACGATCATTTGATTAATTGGCTTGTCAGTCAGTCATTGAAGTCTAAAGATGTAATAATAAATGCCCAAATACCCCTTTTATCAAACAATTAATAAAGAAAAAATGCTCATAGAGAAAGAATAAATAATCTGTTTTTGTTTCTAAATTGTGTAGTCAATGAGAGAAGCGATTTTTGAAATTCACTTGCCTGACTTAAGTCCCATCGGATTAAGCTGACATAGATAAATGAACCTCACTTTGAATCAATTACTTACTCCGTTAATTAAATCCGTTTCTGTGTATTATGAAAATTAAACAGACAATAAATTTCTAATGAACTTTTTCGAACTCATTAAATTTATTGTTTAGAATTCTTATTTAAGCACTTTTGATTAATGTAAAAATTAAAAATTTAAGGTGACTAGAACTATTATTTACGTACTCGTAAACGGAGAAAAATCGAATAAAAATAAGCACTTAGGTATTTATTGCCATGGCGCATTGTAAACTGAACCATTTGGAAGTTTCAATGCCTAGGTTTTTTCAACAAATAAGGCTTAATTTGTGCCCGAACATTAATCACTTTGTCTGAATACTTAATCAAGGGGATTAATGTTTTGAAGAGAATATTTTACAATTTGACTATTGGTTATTTTGAAAAGCTTTAGCTGGGAGATCTCCGAGCTCATTATTATTTGGTACGATTGAGAGACTTGTTATATCTTCTTGGCTCCTTCTAGTTTTCCCAATGTAAACACGTTGAACTAGTTAAATAGATATATTGAAAATAAAGTAATTATTTTTTTTCTTATGGAGGTGGCATAAAACGGAATAAATTTGGAAAAACAGGCAGATTCGTCTTTCTTTTTAATGGACTTTAATTCAAATTTTTAGCCTTTGTATGTGTTTAAATTGGCAGCAATATTGGATCGAGAAGATGGCTTTGACTCCAACTATTTGATGTGTAGAAATTATTTAATTCTTAGCAAAATTTGGCCGTTTATTTAATAATTAAGTTTGCAATAGAATTTTCAAATTAATACAACTGAAATGACAATCGTAATTAAAATTTCAAACTTAAAATGATATAGAATCGAGTGGCACAGTTCTAAATATTAATTTTAAATGGCATCTAGTATCAATCTTTCTCTTAATAAAGTAAGCATTCTTTGCATATTTTAAACTCTAACACTAATTTATGCTTGCATCTCAGTTCTGATCAATCTGAAGTTATTTACAACTAGTTTGTTAGAAAATTAATCAAAACCATTAGACACTTTTCTTGTGTTTCACTGTTCCAATGAATGCAGTTTTATTCGGAGACAGTCTTTGGGGTGTAAATAAGCTGTGTTTTCCATTCGTTGAAACATGCTCTAAAATTAATTTTACACAATTTAAGAGATAGCTTAACTGATGCTTTTCATATCATTCAACGCGATATTACAGTTTCTCATAATTGGGAAATAAGTATAACCTGCTACAAATAAGGAATATGCAATAAATGCTGGGATCGATTTCATGATATCACGGAGTTCAACTTCAGGTGAGTTTTGGATTTGGGCGGTACCCAATTTGCTTAAATGGAAGCTCTCATTCAAAGACAAGTTGTGGCACACCTTCTATTTTCCACCATATTGAATACTCATTGATAAGTTGTTAATGAAAGTTGTGAAAAATGATTTATCCTTCATGATGGATTAAGGCCAGTTCATGGTAATAGTTATGTGTTCGTTATTTTCGAAATAAATTAAATACAAATATCCATATTTAAAACAAATCGAATTTTTGGATATTATCGGGTAACGAGGTAGGAATTAGAAAATCAATCAAGCAGGTGAATGTTATTATTATTATTATTATCATCATCTATGCACTTTCAGAATTGCCTTCCTGTTTCCGTTTGTAAGTATAAATCAAGTAAGCGATAAAAGTTGATAGATATTTTAGCGCTTTCAACTTCCTTTCTGTCTAATTAAATATTGGAGCTTTTAAAATACCTCGTAGATGATAAAAAAATTCACAAAAACTCGCAAAGTTTTCAGTAATTACATCACTACAAGAATACGGCCAAATTATCTTCTGAAAATTTATACCAATGAGTTGTTGTTAGTCGCAAAATTATTTGAAAAGAATGTGCAAGTAATATAAATACGCTTAGGTTTAGAAAGAATTCTTTGTGATTTGTCGACATTTCATGGCAAGAAAATCCTTTTTGTCAATGTGATAACAAAGAACTGATAAATCGAATTCTCGAAATTCTGTAAACAGCCTACAAATCTACCACTTTGGACGAGATGCATCGATTTTTTCCACTTTCCTTCATCACAATTTTAAACAGTTACAGAATTTAGAAAATATAGGATGCGATTTCTGCATATATTTGCCTGTCTGCTAAACTATAACCGTATTCATTTCGGTTGCTTACATATTAAAATGCCAGATAAATTTTGAACGGGTGATTGAATTTGAAAATATTAGGTGAAAAATGATATAAATAGTTAATATCAAGTGGATGCATACTTGTTGATAAAATGTGAATAGCGAAATTGGTAAAATAAGTAGTCTTGAGAAACTAAGTCACTGTAATGACATTCTAAATCACCAGCAGAAATCCAAAAACTCGAATTAACAAAAGATGAAGAAAGGGATAACGGAGATAGACGTAAATGAGCCTCTAATAAATCCAGGACGTGAAAGATTTTAGATTGCTGAAGTATAGGAGTCCTTTTCATCCGCATAAAACTGAAGTTTTGCTGTGAACATAATTAAGCTGTACAGGGGGAGTTACTTAAATTTTGAATAGTTAGTTAAGCCTCATTGATTCATTTGGATCGTTTAATAGGCTTTCTCTTGAGCAAACTTGCCACAAAAACAACCTCTATCACTTCCAAGGTAGCTAGAACACAGGAGGTATAATGTTTAGGAAATTTGTCAGAAAATAGGCTATCTGTTAACATGTATAGTCATTAAACGCAATCAATGCTAAAATCAGTTGCGTAAAATTGAACGCTGATCGGTCGGGAAATCCTTGTATGCAAGTTTACACATTCAGGAATATTCTAGAGACCTCCTTTAATCAGCTTTAGCGGTGTTACACGCCCTACAGAATTAATCTTGCACTGATTAAAATAAACTACTTGAGAAAAGACGTTGGCTCTACGGCGAACTTAAGGTCACCACAGGATTAAGCGCTCCTTGAGGTCAAGATAATTAGGCTTCAGAGATTAGTGCTTACCAAGATAAAAATTTTACAAGTACATGAGGGCTCAGTCGTCAAGCTCACTAGAGTTAACCCAAAATGAACCCTTCAAATTAGCTGCTCAGAAGTTGAATTGCAAACAATTATTTTTCCGAGGAATATATTTCAGTTGACACTATTACACTTGCAACCAAAAAGTGCTTGTCCCTCATGCTTATAGAGTACCAAATGCATTTAAATACTCGCAGACCAGGGTTGCCTTAAACTTATTTATAGGCGTTTAGTTTGAGCAAATTTAACCACAAGTCAGCGAAATTTGCGAATATTTTTCTAAATCGATTCCTGGTTAAATGCGCAAAAAAGTTGTTATTGTTATTATTAATTCTAAAAAAACTACTTATAATGTCAAAATAAATTCTCTAAGGACATTTTTTATCGCAATTTAACAAGCGGTTCTAATATATAAATATAAAAATAAATAAATATATATTACACTAATATTTTACAGCTTAATAAGATTCGACGGTCTTTTGCGTCATCTGACCTGAGATTTCATTGTATTTGGTCTGTAACTAGTAGTTATATTATTTGCAAGTAAATGTTGACTTAAATAGAGATAAATGACTATGATCAAAACATGAATGTTCTCTTATTTTAAGAAGACCACCATGTAGGCAAAAAGAATTTCAAAAACACATATTCCAATTAAGGCTTGTTTTACTTTGAAGAGAATACAACGAATGTGTAAGATGGCCTTTTTACTAGGATGGATTTGATCGCTCATGTTGTTGTTTCTAGCATTCTGCTTCTTTCATAGCCGTCGACAGTGTTCCTTGCAGTTCTAATGGCCTTGAATCATTTTGGTTAGCAGGCGAGGACAGGTTTAAGCTGGACATTCGTGTACTAATGTCAGCTTCCATATTGTCGCCAGAGACCTTCTAAATAATAAAATGTTTGTAACTATTGAGTTAGGACCAAATGCACATCTGATAATTCACGGAAACCAAAGCCTAGGGAAAACTCATGATACTGATATTCATCATCATGCAGAATAGAGTTATTTTAATAATGAATTCTCCCGAGTTGTCTTCCATGAACCGCCAACTTTTTCTTCCACCGTATTTCAGGCGGACCTAAATCTATACATAACATCAGCCATTATATGTCAGATCTTTCAAGGCGAAAGCATGTGGGTGAATAAATGAAAGATGATATCATATCAATTTCCCGAAATACATTTTAATCACACCCTTGCAAACACCTTGCATTTTTAGCGTTCGGTCATAGTGAAATGCCTCCCTGTTAACACGAACTAAATTCCCGCCCATTCAAAATTCCATACCAGGATGCACATTTCGAATCTACTCACATAGCGCTGTCCTGTTTGTTCTAAAAGGATACTCACTCAAGGGGTTCATATAATCTGTTTTTTGTACTTTCATACTTTTACCCTCCTCCCCCTCCAAATCCTGACATTCATATGTGGAAATTGTTGCCCATTGCTAGCAGTCATCAATTGGATGGGATTTTAGCAACTGATGACCGTGGATCCAAAAATAAGGGTTCGTTAGTGGTCGTTCACAAACCTCAGTAAAAACATCATAGCAATAGTGGAGAGCATATTTTAAGGATTTTCAAATATCAACATGAAAAACCATTGTAATTCTAGCGAAGTAAATCTTACCGGAGACCGTTGACAAGCAAGGTTTTCGCCTTTAAATTGCCTGAGAAATGAGTAGGCATCATAGGCCTTGGTTGGATTAAACATATTCCCGTTTTCATCGCATAGGCCAACTTCAATAATCGGAGAGTAAGCAAAACAGTCCTGCCCGGGGCAAACGAACAGTATTTCTTCCGAATAGGCGAATTCCAACCAATCGTACATGCAATCAACATGAAATCGATGCGAACATCCACGAACAAAAGTAATTCGGGGTCCTAGTGGTCGAAGACATAGTTCACACTTCATTTGAGGAGTAATAGTTTACACTTTAAATTCAATGAGTGTAGAATATAGAGCTTTATTTTAAAGTGAGTGAGCAACATTTTCAAGTACAGTTCAAGTTTAAATTCAAATTAAAATATGATTGAAATCAGCAAACGCAAATCACTTTGAGCGTAATAAACAGATCTACTATTTGTGTAACAAGGTTATGCTTGATTTAACTATCCGTACATGGTTATAAACAGCCACAATGAATGACTACAGAAATTAAGATTTTTGAATCAAAGTTTAGATGTCTAGCGGAAAACTCGTTCAAAATTAATTATTCATTGAAAGGAAAAGATGGACATGAAAAACATGGCTTGTTTGATACTAACAGCAGCACAGATATGAGTTGGTTCATTTCTGCTTTGGTTGGCGTTGGCATTTCCTGAGATGTTTGTCGTTAATTTTCTCGCACGGTCAAAGATAGTAAATCAAATCTAAATTGACCACCGCTCTGTTTACTTCTACCCCAAAGTTACTGTTTGGGTCCTCTTAAATATGTTAATAAAATGCGTAAATAATTCAACAGTCGAGTGTATAGTTCACTTTGCCGTCTTCTCGATGCATCAAAGCTCACGTTACCATGGTTCTTGGGCCAATATCTAGCTTTACTCAATACAAACAGGGACATTCACGGTATTAGGCTACCAAATGTGATAACTTACTGGCGCACACTTTTAACTACTGCAGGTTGCTAACGTATCGCTTAAAGTTTCCCCAAGTTGGAAGACTGGAGATAAATTGAGCACGGTTTATTGGGTTAGTTACACGAGGGACCGGATTTTTGGAGTTAGTCTGGCACGGTTTAAGATGCAGCATGAAACCGGGATTATATTCCAATAGGTACGCTATACTTTATACATTGCTGAGATGCCTTTTAAGAAAGTGTGGTTTATGTGGTAGAGCGCGCTTCTTAGCAAACGAAATTGAGGCCTATCCTTGAAAAAAATTTCCATATAGATTCGTCACCACTTAATATATACCTGTACTTCCATATTATTTATTGTTTCCTATAGTTTTGAATACCTGTAGTGAAATAAGGCTACGATTAATCATTGGAATCATTGAGTTCTCCGAGAACAAATAGTAAAGATACAGTAGAGACTCCTCTCAAATCCCACATGGCAATAGTGGGAGGGATGAAGGGGGGAGGGGAATTCAGCGCTTTAATAATGCCATCATAAACACACTAAAATTATATCTAGATTTAAATTATTAACCCTTAGATTGACGATCAAATTAATCGGTTTTAAGTGGTCCAAGAAGTGTGAAGACTTTGTGTACCGATTGTTAAAATGCAAAATAGGGCAAACAAATAAGAATTTGACCATTTAAAAACAAATTCCACCCCAATCCCATAGGACAGTTTATGCGAAATCGTTTTCAAAGTGCAGGGAGAAAGATGATTCTGGACCGAGAGGACAAGGACACATTTCGCATATAGTTAGCACTTATCTTCAACCTTTAGACGATGTTATTAAAGTGGACATATTACATCTGTCACGCTTATTTAAGTATTAATTAGAAATTTAATTTGAAACAGCCTTGTTATCCAGGAAGGGAAAAATCGAACTGCAATATGTCTATGGGTTTCTACCACCTACTCATGTCTTTAAGAGGACACAACATTAACGCTCTTCCTGAGTGAAACATTCAGTGGAATCAATTGATCGACAGATGTTAAATAATGCGGACATTAAAACACTGAAAGTAGGACATCAAGTCAATAAAATTAAAATTTGAAGCAGCCCACTATTGTAAATTATAATAAACACATTATTCTATGGTAATAAATACAATGTTTCTGGAAAGTAACTTGAGATGAAGGAAATACCAATTTAGCGTCTAGTCGAGAGCGATGTAAACTTTATAGGACACCAATGAGTGGAATTTAAGATTGAAAGGGGTGCAAATTGGTATTTAACAAAAATGAGACGCAAAAGAGGGCGAAAGGAGGGGGAGACTTATAAAATCGATTATTTACATTCTGCATTGTGAATTTGTTGTTGTTGTGTGTGTGCGTGGGTGGGTGGAGATTGCCCATGGGAAAAGAGAGTAGCCACGAGGGGACACTCGATAGTCTGCAACTTCGAATAGCCACTTCAGTAACAAATGCAGTGATTTGAGGGAGATAAAAAATATTTACAGGTTTAAGTTAATCCTCTTCTACCTATTCGGATGCTATTATACGCTTAAAACTTGGCAGTGAAACAGGTATTAATAAATCTCAATAAATGCCATTCATTGCCAGAAATCTTAAGATCTGTCTATCTTTTCCCCCCAAGGGTATTATAAAAACCAACGCTTCTTCTTCCTATGTATATATGTCTAAAAGGAAAATTGGGAAGTACTTTGAAGGATGAATTTCTAAGCGTAATAGGCAAGTTGCAAGAATCCTGCCTGTCACTTAGGCATTGGCTCCAACATGTTACAGTATAATATGAGGAAACATTTTAGTGGCCGCAAAAATAGTAAAGAGGGGACTATTTTTAGCAAAATATTCAAGTATGGTAACCTCTGCCTCGATTTTGAAACAAAAAAATTTAATCAGAAAAGATTTGCTCTTTGACTCGAAGTTAAAAGTGGGAAAAACTTTACATTATTGCTGAAAGCGTTCTTAATTGAACTTGTTTGATATTTTAAAGAACAATAGCGCAAAGTTTGCTACGTAATGCATAAATTTACTCAAATCCAAGAGTCACATTAATTTTTATTTTTTAAATTTCAAAAGTTTACTTTGGCGTACAATTTTTTGGCATCCTTCGATCTGTGCGATAACACTATAATATGCGAGTCGCATTTTAAGACTACTTTTGAGTATAGCGTTTATACGACTCACAATATTTGCATAAAAAATTATTTTAATTTAAAGGCAACTAGCATTATGCTTCACGTAGCTTTTAAATATTATGGTGATTTTTATATCCTTTCATTGCACCACTTGCTCAAGTCAAGCTTTATTGTTTGATCTAGTTTATTGGCGCTGGTTGAAGGAAAATATGCATTTGCCTCTGAACGTTAAAAATTTTTTATGCCAAATAAATGGCTTATTTACCCATTTGTAATAGACAACTTGTAGTTTTAAAGAATATTTTTGACAGGAATTGAATTAAAATACTTTACTGGCTATTAGTTTCAAAATGACAAACACTTATCCAACCGGTCTTATTTACACATACTTTGGTAATTAAATAAAAGTTTTAATACTAGTGCATTCGTATTTTTAATTTAAAATCAATTCACATATAAATGTCAAATTAATTTTATGCAGTTATGAATTACATTATTTTCATTTGACAAGGCATTGGAACTTTGTTTTAATTTGTAGTAATAAGAGGTAAATACTAGAACTACTGATCATTGTCTGGGTAAAGATAAAGATTTAAAAATGAAATTTTGTTAATAAGATATTTGGGAAATTAGAACAAATGGTGAAGAAACCAAGGAATAGTTGGTGTCGCGTTCAGTGGTTTGACCATTTATTGGGGAAATAAAATTTTATTTGCTGAAGAATTTTTACAATTAGCCTCATATTAACGTACTTTCAAATTCATAAATAAGTTCCAAGAGTGTTTAAAAGAAATTGGATAATTTCGTTTGCGTATTTCAGCTCAATTTTTATTTCTACTAAATGAAATATCAAAATATTTTTAATTATTGCTGTAGAAATCGTTTTCGGAAAAGCAATATTTTCCGTGGGTCGATTTTATTGAGCTTTTAAACAGAGCACAAATACCTTCAATAAATATTGCTGAACTTACTGTTTTGATTTCAAACAAAACATGTTAGTAGTTAAAGTTATTATTTGGTTAAAATTAGTTAAATCCATGCCGTTTTTACATTTCTGTGCTGCAACTTAATTTATCAGCGTTAAAGTGACGATCACATCTATTAATCAGACTCCTCATTTTTATAAAATGCAGCTTTAAATTTTAATAAGTGAATCTTTAATTCCAGGTCAAAGTAGTTGGGAAGTGATTTCTAGCCAATAGAAATATATATCGTTATTGTTCCCTCTTCCTCGTTCTTTTGCTTCTTTCAACTTATTTAAACTTATTCAATGAAGATCACCAACCCATGAATATCACTCTCTTTCTGTTTTTTGGTGGAAATAGAAATGGTACGCTCGTTCCCCTAGGGATAATGAAATATCTCTTAACGCCATTAACTGCATCGCAGTTTGTTTGTTTCTTTATGAATTTGGCATAATGAAAGTGAGAGGGGGAGGGGTTTAATTAAATTGCGATTCAGAAGTTTTCAAAATTGGAATTTGTCCGCTTTTAAGAATTTAGTGTAATAAAGCGCATAAATTTCACACAATGTTTGAAAGACCTTTAATTTTGGTAACAAGAAGCCGACAGTTTCACTTCCCATTAATAAACTATTTCTTAGGTAATTCCGTCATATTTAATTAATAATCCACTGAGACTCATTGTAAATAATATTCCATGCCCTTGGAAATTATTTATTGAAATTTATGTTAGTGTGAATAATTACAACGACATAAACAAAATGCGCTGTAGCTTTGTTTAAGTTCTATTAAAAGCATTATAAAATCATATTTAATTGAATTTTCGTAGCTCCAACTAATAAACCATCCAAAACCCACTTATTTGCTTCATATAATTAAAAGTAATTTTAAAGTCCCAAAATTTAAAATTTGAATTTAATCAAGCTTACTAAAGGGCTTAAAAGTCAAAATTTGCAACATTTTGCGGAATGGATCACTTCCTTTTCGAGGTAATGTAAAACTGGGTCTATTGTGCACTTAAAGTGATTAATGGATTATGAAATAAAAAGGTGTTAATTAAATCGTTTTTATTAAGATAACTAAAACATTAGGGCTGTACAGAAATCTGAAAAAGGTACTGACAATAAAATAAGCGTACACAAAATCAATGATGATATGGTCTGTTTTGCATAACGGCTAAATGCAAACAATAAATGAGGTAGGTAATATCCTAGAGACTGCTTTGTAT